ACTTGATATGACTTTTAAGTTTCTTTTAATAGGTCCCTCACCAATGTTCTTCTTTTCCTTATAATTTAACTGGAGAAAAACTGGGCTGTAGTTTCCCCTGCAGTCTGGATCTTGCTAGTTGCACATTCATAGCACAGTTCAACATGTTCCTCTGCTTCTAAATGATATTTGCAGATAATATTTCATCAGGTATGAGGAATACCCCAGGAATTAAAGGAATAATTGTCTATGGTCATTGCAATTGACCATGTCTGTATGCATTGCGAGTGTATGATAAATTATTTCCTACCACATCCACTCACTTACCAAAATGAGAATTAAAAGTGGATATAATACCCCAAACCATTGTTATTTCCTTTTCATATTGCAATATGTTTTAATTCTTTATGTAATTGTCAAATTTGAAACTTCATTCATATATCCAAAGGGATTGAAAACTTACTTTTGTCGATTCATATAATTAACGCTGTGGATGAACTTCAACATGCAGCTGAGAGAGTCAAGAATGAGAAAAATTAAATGACTTGCTCATGCACTGGCAGAGTGGAAGCTGGAATATTTTCATACTTCCAAAGCTTCCCTAAGCTCATCTGCAAATGGCGAAAATCTTCTGGCTGAGAAAATGTTTTACTGGTGTCCCATGTCCCACAGCCTTCTCTTTGCTTGTGACTGCCAGACCTCTGCGGGTTTCCTTTTGCTCTGTCACTTGGGCTTCAACTCGCACCTGGATTCTAGGAGCTGACCTCTTCTCTGGTTTCTAGTCCCCGACAAATCTCCCACTCTCTACGCCCTGTTATTGCACAGTTGGCTGGTGTTTCTCCTCATGTGCAATCCTGTAAACGATTTCCTTTCTGATATTTGATTGCTAATTTCTCTACAACACAAATAATGTATTATACATTTTATGATCCTATCAGAAATATATTTTCTTTTAAATAAGGTTCTGTCTTAGTCTTTTTTGGCTGCTATGACAAAATACCATACACCAAATGGCTTGTGAGCAGCAACTTGTTTCTCACATTTCTGAAGGCTTTAAAGTCCGTGATCAGGACACTGACAGATTCGGGGTCCGAGAAGGGCCTCTTCCTAGATGTCTGTCTTTTCACTGTGTCCTCACGTGGCAGAGGGTTGAGGGAGCTGCCTGGGGTCCATTTTAAAAGGCACAATCCTATTCACTGGGGCTCTGCCCTCATGACTTGGTCACTTATAAAAGGACCCACCTCCAAATATCATCACATTGCAGATTAGGTTTCAACATATGAATTTGGTGGGGCCCAAACATTCAGTCTGTAGCAGCTTTTTATTTTGGAAGAACTGTACATTTACAGAGGTGTTGCCAAGATAGTACAGAGAGTTCTCATATATTCTTTAACCAGTTTCCATCATTACTATCATCTTATGTAATCATGGTACATGTGTCAAAACTAAGAAACAAACTTTGGTACATTACTATCAACTAAACCAGCCTTTATCTGGATTTCACTAGTTTTTCCATTAATGTCATCTTTCTGTTGCAGAATCCAATGCAGGATTCCACATTGCCTTTAGTAGTTGTATCTCTTTAGAATCCTGGATCTGTGACAGTGTCTCAGTATTTCCTTGTGTTTCATGACCTTGGCAATTTTGAGGAGTGCTGGTCGGGTACTTTGTAGAATATCTCTCAGTGTGGGTTTGTCTGAGGTTTTTATCATGACTAGACTGCAGCTATGGGTTTGGGGGAAGGATACCATGAAGCGAAGTCCCCATCACATCATCTGGGGGTATAAGGTATCAACATCTCTTATCTTTGGTGATGCTAACCTGGACCACCTGGGTGAGGTAGTGTTTGACACGTTTCTCCACTGACAAGTTACTTTTCTGACTTTTTCATATTCTATTCTTAGGAGGCAAGTCACCAAATTCAGCTCAGCCTCAAGGGGGAAGTGGGTAGAATCAAGCTCCACCTTTGAAGAAGGAAGTATCTGCACAAATTATTTCTAATTCTTTCGTAAGGAAGATCTATCTTTTTTCTACGCATTTATTTAATACTTCATTTTATTAGTATATAAATATGTATAATTATATTTTGAATTATAATCCAGTACCAAATTATTTATTTGGGTTTTCAGTATTTACAACTTTGGTCATTGATACCTCATTCAAATTTGCTTCTTGTCGCTGTTTTTAAGAAGTAAAATGCACTTAATTTTTCTACTATCAAACTATAGAAAGCAAAAATTTTTAGGTATCAAAAAAT